TTCTATGTGCTAAAATGTGAATAATAGTTTGCGTTCTAATAGACTATGAGCGTAAAAGTTTTCGAATTTATAACTCGAATTTTTTTCTTCTGAAAATATACCTGAATAACCAATGAGAACCTGAATAACCGCTTTTGCAGTCTTGGGTATCATTTGTTTCTTTGAATAAGAGTTAAATTATGAGAAGAAAATTTAAAATTTTGTACTCTTTTGATACTATATTTTTAATGTTTGCTCTTTTCATTATTTATCGTAATAGTGCAAATACAAACATTCTTTCACCTATTTTATAAAAATGCACTAGTCAACAGATAATTTAAAATTTGGTTGAAAGAAAAGAAATAAGGAATAACTTGTAAACAATTTTTAAATCGAAAATAATTTTTAATAGAGTCAATTCCAATTTCTTAATAGATACAGTAAAATTTTTTTCTCGGGAATAAAATAGAAAAATAAAAATTTTGAGTTTTAAATTTTCATTTTTTGAGAAACTTACTTATTTTTTCCTCTTTAAACTTTGGATTTGCAATTTAAAATTACTCAGTTTTAGAAAATGTGTGTCTTTTTTATATTAAAACATTAAGTAAAGCTCTTATTTAAAATATTAGGACAATTAAGAAGTTCCACTCTAAAAATTATCTTACTTTATACATTTTTGTTTTTTGCTTAAATTAAATTAAAAATTTAGCGAGTCAAATCCACATATTTCACACTATTTTTAAGCATTAAAAAATAAAAATGAAACATTAATTAATTCGACAATTTATTTTTCTTGAAAAAAATTTAAATATTAGAATAAAATTTCATGTGGTCCAAAATATTAGAATATTTCATAATAAACACTTAAATACATATACAAATGAAGAAAAAAATCACTTAATATTTTGCAACATCACCTTTAGCATTGATGTCTGCGTATAAACAATCTTCCAAAAAATAAAAAAATCTTTTTTTTTGTTGCTGTCTTCATTAGTCCAAGTAGACTTAATGCTCTCAAATAGCCCAGTTTTGTTTGTAGGAACAATTTCTCCTAGTTCTTTCTTTACTATTTAAAAAAAAATTAAATTTGGTAAAAATCTGGTGTATTAGTTAGCCATATAATTCTTAGGTTGCCCAATAATTCTGCGTTACTCCTGTCAGACTTTAGTTGATTTTGGTCAAGGTGCAGATAAATCTTGTTTGAAAATAAAATTGTCCTCAAACAATCATGCAGCGCTCGAGAATATCTTGATAAATCTTGATATCTGAAACAACTTTTACCTTTTCAGGTCCGTTTATGCTAATGTAACTTAACACTATCTCACTAGCTGCAAACAAACGCACATTTCAAGCTCTCTTTAATAAATTTTTGATGTAATCTCTCTATTATTATTTAATCCACCAAACTCGAACGTTTTGACTACTATAAGGCACGCAGAACATACTCTCGGCTCTAAATATAGTTTTGCAACTCCATAAAAATCTTAATTTTCACCATCTTATTCTTACAAGCTTTTGTTTTACAGTCGTAAGTGGTTTTGTTTCTGGAACACACGATTGAAACTTAAATTTGAAGATGTCTTAATGTTGTCAATTTAGAAGCATTAATTCCATCATTTTTCTTTCCATTTTTTGATGCAAATATCGTACTCTCCTAAAAGATTTTTTTTAACTAAGTTTTCAGTTGACTGTCATCTCTGGTTGACGTTTTCACAGTTTTAATTTTCCCAATATTTAGCCTCACTTCATACATCAAAATGAATTACGTGTCTGATTAGAGCAACGCAATTTTATAGTGATACCGTGGCCAGCTATTTCACCAGATCTGAACTCACTTGAAAATATATTGGGTAAAAAAAGATTGCTTGTTCCATACAAGATTGTTTATATGCAGTGTTCGAAGTTAAAGGCAATAATGTAAAATATTAAGCAACTTTTTTTTCTTAATTTATAACTAAATTGTAGTGTTTATGATGAACCATTCTAAATGTTTGGACCTAATGAAGTTTTATTCTAATATTTTGATTTTTTTCAAAAATGAATTGTCGAATTATACTATATTTTGATTTTTAATGTTTGCAAATAATACGGAATATGTTGCCTTTTAATTAAATTTAAATACTTAAAAATAAATAATAGAAAATAAGAATATTTTTAATGTCCAATTTTTTAATTATTCTAACATTTTGAATCTGAGATGCATTTTCAATATTTAGGTTAATTTCTTTCAGTTTAAAATTGATTAATGTAATTATGTTCGTAAAATTTACAATTTGTTTCTATGCAATTATGTATGTTAAGTTGTATGTTTTGTGTGACTTAATTTATAGACTAGAAAAATTGTTATCGATTCAAAATTTAATATTTTTCTGAGATATTTTTTTAAAAAAATAAAAAGACAGAAGAGAAAAGAAACAAAATAAGAGATCTTAAAAAAAAGGAGAAAAAAAAGGCGAAGAAAATATATACAAAAGGGGGGGGGGATATGTAGTCAAGTTATTTCAATTTAGTTTTCTATCAGTAACTAAATTGAATTAGTACTGATACTTAAGTACTTGTGTTATCTTTTGATGGTTTTAAACACTGAATTATATTTTGACTTCCAAATTATAGTGGCGTCACCTATTATTGTTTTGGGAAACTAATTTCTTTTTCATACTTGATCAAGCGTAGGAATTTTCCCTTAGGAGTTAAATTTGATAAAATTGATTGCATGTAATGTTTAATATGATTCGAATAACTATTTCTTAGAAATTGATTGAAATTTCCAAAAAATAGTTTTTTGAAATTTATTTATTTATTTATAGTTATTCGAAATATTGGAAAATTTATTTCCTTTGAAACCTGAAACGTTTTGATAAAATCAAAGAACACGGTTCCTTTCAAATTTTTCATTTTTTCTGTTCCCTTTCCTCTTATTATTGTGAAGGCTAAAACATTCTATAAGAAAATTAATGCTTAAAGAAGTAAGTATACTAAATGTAGTTTTATTGCAATTTGAAAGTCTGAAAAAAGCGAATCAAAATCCATTTAAATACTTAGACTATTTCTCAAAATTTTTCTTCAATTTACTTTTTAATACAAAACTGTTTTCTTGAAAAAGAAACATTAATTATTAAACATTAACATTTTTATTACATTTCTTAAATGCACTAAATTTATTATATCATAAGTATTATGATACATAGAATGTCAATGCTCAATTTAAATGTGTAAAATATCACAAAATAAATTATCGTTGTTGTTGCAATCCTTGTTAAATATTTGTTAATTGTTAAGGTTAATTTATACTATCTTTTCCCTTAGCTTTTTTATATTTTCACAATACATCACAAGTTTGTCAAATTGCCACTCCAGCCTCATATGTTACGTTGAATATTATTCAAATCGTTTGTATACAATTTTTTAACTCTTGTTAAAAGTCATCGATTTGGAAAGATGTGTACATTTCTGAGTACAGCTCTGACACGTAGTACTGTATTAAATATTGCATTCCTGTATGCGTGTTTATAAGTTTCTTTATGTAACATAAAATGGCAATAGGCTAAAATCGTCGTTTCTCATTATTGCCAATACATTCAGTCCAAAAAAAAGAAAGCATATAATGAGATTATCTGGAAATATTTGGCTGTCATCAACTCAAAATTAATAAAAGTTAAATGGAAGTTACTTGTGTAAACTACTTAATTGTCTCTTATTCAATGGTATTTTTTTATTTTTTTGATAACAGAGATATTTAATCTACGTTTCTTAAAAATATCTTCAACTATTTTTAACAATTATACAATTATATTTAACTTATTACATTATTCCAGCTCTTTTTCCATATTTTTATTTAAACTTAAAATTACAATCTATTTCGAAATTACAACTTAAAACTAAATAAGATGTACCTTTATTATATTAAAAAGAAATTCTGTGGCATCACTTTATTTTATAACATTTTGGAATAAAAAATTTAATTTACAATTATTAAAATTTAAATAGTTTACATTTAGTTTTTGATTAAGTTCCTTTTATTTTTATAATATATATTTATGAGAAAGTGTGTGTATCAACAAATACGAATGAAAAAAATTAATGGTAAAAAAGCTCTCAACTGTCAACTGGTTTTTGCCATATTGCTATTTAAATTCTTTGACCGAATTTTTTTAGCTAGTTTTCATTGTAATCAAAAATTAAATTAAAAAAAAAAGGAGTTGTGAATGAAGTTCAAATAGCTGAGAAAAATGATTTGGTTTTAATTTTATCCCAATGTCCTTTACGGAGCTCGATAGGTGATAATAGAATAAAATTTTTGGTTAAAAAGGTTTTAGGCTTGATTTTCGATTATTTTATCTGTTACTCATCAAAGCAATCATGGGGATTAGCAAGAGAGACCAATTTGAATTTAAATATCTATATTTTGTTTTGTTTTCATCGTCATTTGGTGTAAGTTTTTGAATTTTTTTTTCAAAATTAAAATTTAAAATTTTTTTTCCTGAAAAGTGCGCATAAAATCTAAAATTTATTTTTCAAAAGTTTTTGAAATTAAATGAAAAGAGAATAATTGAAATCATCAATTAAATGAGAATCATATCACAGCATTTTCAAAACATCCATCGTCCACTGTAATCACATATATTAATGTGACATATTAAAATGTTTAATTAAAATTATTTTTCTTTAATTTATAAGCTTCTTATAAGCAGTATTCTCCATGGAAAAAATTTTGAACAAAAATCAGGAGCTCGGGGAAGAATAGTTCATGCCTTGTTGCTTGAATGTGCGATCAGAATTTTATTTATATCTTTTTCTGCTACAATTTTTTTTTAAAAATCGGTTAGTCTAATTGAAGTCATCCAATAGAAAAAATACAAACTCTTATTTATATTTTAGACAGAAAGCTAATTATGCTTAATTGGTATATTATCAATGTCTCAAGTAACAGTCAATTAAAAAAGATTGACCTGTATAAAAAGAGAAATAGATAGTTCGTAATTCAAATACAATGAGAAAAATACAAGTTATATGAAATGGTATTTTGATGAAATTAATGTTTATTACGTTACATTACAACACAAATTCACAAGTCATACAAATTAAAAAATGAAAGAAAAACAAACATTTTTAAAAGTGGGTGTATTTTTGTGCATGTTTTCATGCAGCAAGTTTTAATATAATTTTATAGTAAATAATGCTGAAGAAATTCTTCCATTTGTTTTTTTTACGCTATGCTTATAAAATATTTATAGTTTTATCATTTTTGATATTGTGTTTCGCAATAGTTTAATTTGACCGAGTAGAATAGCGTAGGAAATGTAAATTAATCCTTGGTATTCGTCGAAATGTTCTGTTCTCATTTGCTAAGATATAAATCATTTACAGTAGCAAAGAATTTAAAAACAGTGTTACCAAACTTAGCAACCTTAGCACCATTGAAAAATGATTGCTCCACATGAAAATACTTGCACGGCAAAACACTTAATATAATAAAGAAATGAATTGTTTGTTGTCAGTATTTGAAAAAATATATTTATATGTTATTACGAATAATTTTGTATATCCCTTTTCATTTCAATTAATAATAATTACCTAAATTTGAATGAAAATATTTTTAATTCTAAACGATCTGTAGCTAGAAGTTAGTGGGTTCAAATCCCCCTAAATTTTTGATTAAAACAAAATGTATACATTGAGTTTACTTAAGCAATGCAAAAATTTTGCGTTTAATTTATCTTTCAGTAATCAGATTTAGAGTTACTAATTTCCACAAATTGAATCGAACAAGTCATTATTTCATGATAAATACATGCGAAGTAATTTTTAAATGAAACATAATATTGTTGAAAACATTATTGCAGTTAGCTGAAAATATTATTCCAAAAGTATGCGATTGTTATTTTTCACTAAAAGTACCCGATGCAATAAATATTTTTCAATCTTAAAGAACCGTATAGCTCCTTGCTATAATATTACGTTTTCTAGTTTTTATACATTGTCATTAAGATAAATATTTATAAACATAGTTTTATTAGCTACATTTTACACATGGATGTATAACATTTTTGATTTCAATTATAATGATAAAAATGAGGATTTAACACTATTGAAAACAAACAATTTAACTGATAAGTTCTATAAACTCAACGAAGTTTTAGTGGACATTTATGAAGCTATAACTGGACATGGACTTTTCCAGCCACCAAATACTTTATCCAACTCAACGGCTGTGGCAAGAGTCAAATGGTCTTTGAAATGTCCACTAATAGCTTGGATACCAATAGGTACTCCGTTATAAAATCCAGTGGGTATCTGCGAACTAGGAAAACCTAAAATACTGAATATACAAGTGTAGGCAATATTGGGGTATTTGGGAATGGTCATGAGATAATGAGGAGGTGGTTCTGGATGAGTCGGTATCAGGAGAATAGCATCTTCGCTGAAGATTTCCTGGAATTTCTTCTCTAATTCTTGGTATTTCTGCAAGCATTTGTAGTAAAAGGCATCTTTGGTTCTTCTGTCAACCATGGCGAAGTAGATGGCCGGCCACGTGTGATCGGAGAGTCGGAAGATGCTTTTGAAAAGTTCCCACCAGAGGTTGATTTTGCCGCTTTCACCGGCTAGGCAGTCTTTGAATGGGGCGATGTCCCTCTCCAGCAATTTGCATTCCCAAATTGGAAATGCGTATTCTAATTCGTCCATCTTCAAGGGAATGGTTGTTATGTCGTACGTTATTTCAAAGTGTTTCGCTGCCTATGAAATTAAAACATTATAAAAATTAATCTACTACAATGTTACATTTTTTTTTTCAAATTTAATTTTATGTTAAAATACTAAGAGGGCTTAAACTCTTATGTATTTGTAAAATATTTTATTCATCTATATATTTTTTGTTTTTCCTCCCCCTTTGTTCCTTTTAAACTTTAGAGCTTCAGAAATGATAGATCAATAATGTCATACTTATTTCAGAATATATTTTTACAATTTATTAGTTCAAAATATTTAATACTAATTATAAATACAACCACACAGTTTAGTCGAACATAACTAAGTTTAAATAAAATTCTTTACTTTGAAAGATATACCCCTCATAAATACCAGTCTTTTTAGCTATCTCGCTTACGTAATTTTTTAGACATTGAAGCAATTTAAATGCATTAAAATACCTAACGAACTTTAATTTACAGTTAACTAAAATAATCATGGCAAAGAAAGTTACATCTCAAATGCAATAAATTCTTTCCAAATTGTTTTTCGGAAAATAAATTTGCGAGAAATCAAACTTTTAATTATACATTTTCGACCACACTGTTTAAATATACATTTTCGACTACACTGTAAAAAATCCTTATCAAATCACGTTAAGAAATACCGGAGACGGTATTCTTTAGTGTAAAATCCATTTTTACCTGAACACGTTACAAAAAAAAAAAAAAAAAANCGAATTCACGTTAAAAAAAAAAAAAAAAAAATCTGATACGCCGTAATTTTTACAGCAATAATTACAGTAAAACCACTGAATCACTCTAATTATATAAATACAACTATGAAAATTGCGGTAAAAATTTATTTTAAAGGATGATGCACCCAAATTGCGGGTATTATAAGTTGATCAGAAATTTTCTACCATGTAACAATTAGTGTTATAATAAAGTAAATAAAATACATCTAATGTGTTTGGCTTTATATTATTAAATAATACAAACCATTCGAACTTTCTCTGTTATAGAAGGAATAGACGAATTTAGTATGCCAGGTATGTTTTCCATGTAGTAAATTTTCAGGTTGCTGAAGTTCACCTAAAATATTTTTAAATAAATTAATAACAATACAAAACGATATATTTAACTTATTCTTTCAAATGGCGTGAAAATATTTGCGTTCTTAATAAATTATTTTAAACAAAAAAGCAACATAACCAGAAATAAAAACATCCAATTCTTATAAATATTTATTACACTAATAATTCAATTCATCAAAAACGCTAAAAATAAAGTAAAATATATTTAAATAAAAAATAACTAAAATTTTACATTTTTCCTTGTGCAGCGACAAAAATAAACTCGCGTAGGCAAAGAATGAAATAATGACATTTTGAATTAATAACATATAGAACATTTATTTGCGTACAAGTATGAAATGAACTAAATAAAATAAAATGATTTTAAAATATGATTATTATAGACAAGGCCAGAAATAATGAAACCTTTTTTCATTCAGTGTGCCAGTTTCTTAAATGTAGTTTAATATTTTTAGGTGTACAGTGGTGCTACTCGTTATACGAAAGAGTTTTTCAAAATAATCTTTGAAAAACTTCTTTGATTTCAAAGTATAGAATTACATAACTATACGCAACTATATTTACTTCTAATTTATTACCTTGCTTCAAATGGCTTTTGAAGAAACAGCATTATGAAGAAAACTTTAATATTAAGTGAAAGTAAAATATCCTTAAAGAGAAGCCATTATGATAAGCAATGAAATAAAATTTAGGCAATTAATTTCAGATGATTTTAAGTTTTATCGTATAAAGAATTAGATGTATAAATAAAATTTAAAATACATTATACATCTCCTTTGCTTTTTCGTTTAAATTTTCTACTTTCTTACTTCTAAATTAATAATTTTTTTCTTCCAAAATACATTCAGTAAACACATACCATCAAAAACTTTATACATTTGCGGGGGTGAAACAGTTTAAAAATTAGTTTTTGCATTATTATTGCTTTCCAATACGTCTGAACCAGGAATAATTTAATTTATTTGGATTTTTGTCACAGGAATAGAAATGCTAAGTGTTCCACATATAGTGATTTTTGTACTTTAATTGTGAATAGTTTCGGAATTTAAAGAAAGGCAATATTTGTGAAAATATAATAATGCAATAGTCAATGGATTAAGCTTATAATTTTGGATAACTCATCTCCGTTAAGGAGAAATAATTGACTGGCCATACTAAGAAAATAAATTTCAAAAGAAATTAAAGGTTTACTTATTCTGCCAAGTTCCAAAACAATGCGTTGATTGCCTCATATGGGAAGACGAGGTTTCCACTGTCTTAAAACAAAATTCCTAGTGATTCAAAAAATCTTAGAGCGATCATAGCTAGGAAATAATGTTTGGTTTTCTAGTTTTATTGCTTACCCAGACAAAAAACATAGTTACCTGGTTGGTAGCAACCAAGCTGCGACATGCGAGTAACTATGGATGGTGTTTTCAATATAAATGCAAACAATAACAATCTCGAGCTCAATACCTGCTCTAGTTCCGGTGAGAAAGTTTGCAACTGCTTACTACAGCTTATTCTGCGAGGTGGTATAATTTTGTTTTCAATAAAAGAAGTAAATTAGATAATTTCTGAGCTCAAATATGCCGTATTTCGTAAGATATTAATGTTATTAAGTAATTCTGGTGAGTTTGAAGTGAAAATTTGTTTTAGTTATAAATAGATATATTGTTAAAAAAGGTGACATGGTTGCTAGATTTTGAACAACTCGCTTTTTTGGCAGTCCGGATTTGGCCTCCTTCCATTTGCTTGTTACTGTTTGTTCTCATTGCAAGCTGTGCACCATCTTGCGTTAGTGTTAGCACCTTTAGTATTATAAATACAAGTATTGTTAGCATTGTAAACATAAGTAAACAAATACTACGTTTGCAACAATCTCAAAACACAATGATCACGTTATGAGTCAAATGGCTTTGAAATACACCGGAAACAGTAACCCGGAAGTATGGGCGGTATAGAGCTTGCAGCGTTCCCTAGTGTAGAAAACACCATCCATTGAATATTAAGTATATACTGACATTAGGTATAAATGTTTAACTTATTGCAGAAACAAGAACCTGGCAGTTGTGCTTTGGTGATTGCATTTGGTATCACCAGGATCCGTCAAGAAAATGTCTCCAAGAAATATAAATTCCTGAACCTAATAAATAGTAAAACCTAAGAAAATTAAGCGTTCCATGAACTAGTTGGGAGACGCAAAACTGGTTCGAGAGTACAAGATCAAATCAATTTTGTTATAGAGCAAATAAAAGAGGCAGTATAATTGTGCTACCAAGTTCCAAAACAATGCATTGATTGCTTTATATAAGAAGACGAGGTTTCTACTGTCTCAAAAAATATTCCTAGTGATCAAAAAAATTCAGACTGACCATAGCTAGGAAATAATGTTTGGTTTTCTAGTTTTATTGCTTACCCAGACAAAAAAACATAGTTACCAGTTGGTAACAACCAAGCTGTGGCATGGGAGTAACTATTGAATATTAAGTATATACTGACATTAGGTATAAATGTTTAATTTATTGCTAGTACAAGAACCTGGCAGTTGTGCTTTGGGGATTACATTTGGCATCACCAGGATCCGTCAAGAAAATGTCTCCAAGAAATATAAATTCCAGAACCTAATAAATAGCAAAACCTAAGAAAATTAAGCGTTCCATGAACTAGTTGTGAGACGTACAGCTGGTTCGAGGGTACAAGATCAAATCAATTTTGTTATAGAGTAAATAAAGGAGGCATTATTTGTACTCACTTATGAAGACGCCACACACAGGAAAGAAAATTTTCCACTCAAATTTTCTTTCTCCTTCATCAGAAATTTAAAATTTAAAGTGCAGAAAAAGTGAGTTCAGACAAACCTAGAGTAAGCCATGAAGTTTCAAATTCCGAAAAGAAAAATTTGAAATATACAAATTAAAATAAATTATGAGGTGATAACTTTAGATTACGCGACGGAGAAGTTCCCTTCTAATATTTTGTTTGCATTTTAATATTTTGAAGTATTTTTTTCAGCAATTGAAACTTCATTACTTACTCTTGGTTTGCCTGAACTTACTTTTAGCATTCTTTGAAATTTAAAATTTATAATGAAGGAGAAAGAGAATTTGCAACGAAAATTTTCTTTCGCGGTATGGCGTCTTCTTAATGTGAACATGAAATATAACAATAAAATATTTATTACATCATCTTCTCTTTTACATATACTCGAAGCTTATCTCGCACATACACCGAAGAGCCATTACATCATGACCACCCTACTAATAACATGTAGGACCACCTTTCGCCCTCAAAAGTGCTAGCACCCGCCGTGGCATTGATTCCACGAGGTGCTGATGGGTAGTCTGAGGAATCTGGTACCAAGCACTCACCAACTGGTCCCTCACATTGCGAGGGGGTAGCGTGGTAGCACAAATTTGGTTTTCCAAGTAGGACCACAAATGCTCTATTGGATTAAGGTAAGGTGAATTTGGGGGCCAAGACATGACTTGGAAGTCACTGGAATGTTCCTCGAACCAATCCATGACGATTCGATCTTTATGACATGGTGTATTATCCTGTTGGTAAACACCATCCCCCGCAGGAAAAACTGTTGCCATGAATGGGTGAATCATGGTCTGCAACTATGTTCAAGTAGCTTACAGACGTTAGGGATTGTTCTATGAGGATTATGGGTTCTAATGTGCCCCATGAAAACATTGTTCCTGGACGAGAAACCATGAAAATCTGAGCGAGCCCATTGCTATAGATGGAGGGTGGTCATAATGTAATCGCTCTTCGGTGTATAAAGCAGACTCAGGAAAAGTAAAGGTTGCAGCTTGCGAAACAAGACTAACAGACTTACTTTTTTATCCCACTGAACTCTTTTATCGTAGCCAGACAGTACTCGTGTAAGCAGAGGCAGATCTTGTGCATATCTGCACATAGGACCAGTGCTCACAAAATCATCAACTTTAGCGTCTTCCTCTGGATCATCAGGAAAACTTCCATAGTTAGAAATAACAGCTGAAAGAAATAGATTAAATACTGTTATTGATACTGTATTTAAAGTTATTGGTAAAATAACATGTCATTTCTCAATTCGAAAAGAACCAATCGTTTAATACTTGATAATATATGCTTACCCGAATTGGCATCACTATATGATATTTTACCCTCCATCGAACATTAATTGAAGGCTCATTTGAATAGTGGTTCAATTCTACTAAATTTATTTTATAACCGTCGTTGAACAGCCAGCCTAATATTTTGGGCTTACGACTACTGAAATTCAACAACGTAGCCTTGTAATTTTGAACCCAATCTAGAAGACAACGGAACTTCTGGATCAAGTATTGGGAGAAATTTACCTTCGTGGAAGACTTTTTGAAGGAGCTAATACGCATTTGCGTTACATAAAGAGGAAAACGACGAAAAACTCTTACGGCTAGCTTGACGATAAAGGGACTCTAACCCATGATCCACCAACAACTGGGGACATTTTACGTCAGCACTGTGGTCGGCGCGAGCTGGATGAGGAATTCGTACCGACCAACCCTCACTGGGATTCGAGCCTGGTTCACCTGATTGGAAGGCGAACGCTCTATCCCCTGAGCCACCATGGCTCAATTCAAGTTATTAACAAACAATTTGTCAGCTTCCATTTTTCTACTGAAAAAGCAAAGAGCAATTCAAATTAGACGAGATGAGAAAAACAATGACAACATTAGACTTAAAAGCTTTGTATCACGAAGATTGCAAAAATGGAGTCAGGTACGATTTACATCTTTTTCAACTGATCACTTGCTTACCTATAGCAGCATGAATGTGTTTATTGTTTCCATTGGCAAACTGGAATGTTCCAAACGACTGATTGTTGGCTGAATGTCGAATGAATTTATGCTTCTAACTAAAGAGAACTTTAAGTATAGAATATAAGTATCAACAAAATGCGATCAGAAAGCGCTAATTTATTTCTTCAAATTTTTCATTCAGAAAAAAATGTTTTGTTGATAATGGTAAAAGTGATGAAGATGTATGTATGTTAGCATTCTATAAGGATTTTTTTTACGCTCACTGAAATCTTGAAGTTTTCTTACTAAGTTTTTCATATAATGCTACATATTGTGAAGAGCCACACATTGGGTATTAGAAGGCTTCAACCAATGTTAGCTTGTGCTACCAATCTCTTAAAGATCCAAAATTATTCTTTATATTACTTAATACAGGTTTCCTTCCACAGATTGAGCTTTTGATTTGTTAAGATAAAATTTAAACTTAATTATTTCGCTCGAATACCATTTCAACTTCTACCCTAAACTTTTTTCTTACATTCTTATTTTTTGGCTGTTGTAAAAACACACTAAATATTTTTCACCAGAGAGATTATTTAGCACTAAGGTAAATCGTTAATTAATAAGATTTTTTTTGAAATTTCAAATACATGATTTGGAGTTATTGGTTTGGTTACGTAAGTTGACAGGACACAGTTCTACATAAAATTTATTATTAAAATGAAAGTTATTAGAATGTAAATACAGCTTATTTACCTTTAATTGTTAAATGGTTACTAAGTTGGTTTAACGTAATATGTTGCATAATAGGATCACATTACACGATTGCTTAATACTATTGTATTATAACCAATTGTATAATAACCAGGAAGCATTGCTTTTCATCTTAAGCCTTTATATTTGAACAATAATCAAAAGAGAGCCGCAATCAAACTAGGGAATAATATTCAGAAGAAAAGATAAAGATGTGGTTAGACTATACTTAGGCACTTGAATAATACCAAATTCGTCACCAGGATGAACAATGTTGTTTTATTTATGGAAACACGCACAGAAATCCTTAAATTATGTATTTCAATGTTTCTTTCCTTCTTTTTTTTGAGAGTGCATATTACATTGCCTTTCCATTTTTGTAATTTATTTATTTTATTTTGATATGAAATGTGTTTGATTCGGATTATTGTTTTTATGTTCACTATGTTTTTTCTGGCGTCATTTCATTTGGCAATACGTGATATGTAAACCCAACTAGAGGCAAAAAATTGCAAATTTTTGCTAAAGAGGCAGCTCTAACTATGCTTTTTCCTAGGATCACAGATATCAAGATAGGATCACAGATAATATTTATCACCATTAACTAGAAGATAAATAAATGATTTAAAGGCAAATTGCATAACTTTTTATGTTGATGACAGTCAAAGTAATTCAGATAGTCATTATTTAATGATGATCATGTCAAATGATTTAGACATACATCATATCTTTTCAACGCTTTTCATTGGCTGACGTAGCACTTCCGAGATGTATTTTGTTGGAGATAAGCATATTCTTTTTAATAATGCAGAAATAAAAATACATATCAATAACTTATCGACTTCTTTCATGTTTCATGACAGAAAAAGGGTTAAGTGTCTTTTGTAAACTGGGAGATGCTAAATATAATTTTGTGTATAGTGACGTAAAACTAAATATAAATGAATAAATAGTAATAAAATTTTAAATAATTTTATTTTGTTTAAAAGTGTCTTATTGATGTCCAGGCGAAAAAGTTCAAAAACATATAAAAATATACATTTTGTAAAAATCTATTTTGTTGATGAATACATTTGATTTTTTGCACTGTCTCATCAACCTCAGGGCATTAATAAATCTGATTTATAAATATTGAAGTAAGATATTTCCCGCTGATGAGTTTCATNTTACAGTTCGATATGCTTTGGATAGCACTGGTATTAAGTCTCGGCATTATGATACGATCATAAACCAATTTTTATAGTTTATGATAACCAATTATGAATTATTAAATTTATATTTTACATCAAGATTAAGAAAGAAAAATACTTAACACCTTTGCAAAGTAATATGACAAACTTTCTTACAGTTCGATATGCTTTGGATAGCACTGGTATTAAGTCTCGGCATTATGATACGATCATAAACCAATTTTTATAGTTTATGATAACCAATTATGAATTATTAAATTTATATTTTACATCAAGATTAAGAAAGAAAAATACTTAACACCTTTGCAAAGTAATATGACAAACTTTCTTACAGTTCGATATGCTTTGGATAGCACTGGTATTAAGTCTCGGCATTATGATACGATCATAAACCAATTTTTATAGTTTATGATAACCAATTATGAATTATTAAATTTATATTTTACATCAAGATTAAGAAAGAAAAATACTTAACACCTTTGCAAAGTAATATGACAAACTTTCTTACAGTTCGATATGCTTTGGATAGCACTGGTATTAAGTCTCGGCATTATGATACGATCATAAACCAATTTTTATAGTTTATGATAACCAATTATGAATTATTAAATTTATATTTTACATCAAGATTAAGAAAGAAAAATACTTAACACCTTTGCAAAGTAATATGACAAACTTTCTTACAGTTCGATATGCTTTGGATAGCACTGGTATTAAGTCTCGGCATTATGATACGATCATAAACCAATTTTTATAGTTTATGATAACCAATTATGAATTATTAAATTTATATTTTACATCAAGATTAAGAAAGAAAAATACTTAACACCTTTGCAAAGTAATATGACAAACTTTCTTACAGTTCGATATGCTTTGGATAGCACTGGTATTAAGTCTCGGCATTATGATACGATCATAAACCAATTTTTATAGTTTATGATAACCAATTATGAATTATTAAATTTATATTTTACATCAAGATTAAGAAAGAAAAATACTTAACACCTTTGCAAAGTAATATGACAAACTTTCTTACAGTTCGATATGCTTTGGATAGCACTGGTATTAAGTCTCGGCATTATGATACGATCATAAACCAATTTTTATAGTTTATGATAACCAATTATGAATTATTAAATTTATATTTTACATCAAGATTAAGAAAGAAAAATACTTAACACCTTTGCAAAGTAATATGACAAACTTTCTTACAGTTCGATATGCTTTGGATAGCACTGGTATTAAGTCTCGGCATTATGATACGATCATAAACCAATTTTTATAGTTTATGATAACCAATTATGAATTAATAAATTAATATTTTACATCAAGATTAAATTTTTTTTTAAATTAAAAGAATTTAAAAAAGAAGATACTTGTTACATAAATTTGTTCTGAGAAATACTAACTCACTTTTAGATGGTTTGTGCCCGTAAATTCCACAGAAAGAGGCTGGGATTCGTATGCTGCCAGCGATATCATTACCAATTCCAATCACAGCTGAGGCAGCAGAAATGATAGATCCTTCACCACCTGAAAGGAAAGCATTATGGACAATCATAATTTTTAGGATTTGCAAACATATTTTAATAATGAAGGATATGAAGATAATAAAGAATACAAGACAAGAAGGTTTTCCAAAGACCTTTGGAGTAAAGAAAAAAAAGCAGTACTCGCGCTTTTATATACATTTACAGTTTATTGTAAAGGAATACAAATACCATAGTAGAGTTTTATTTTAGATTAACTCTCTTTCTCCAGGATATTTGTAAAAAAAAACTTTTGAACAGACTTGCTGAATGTTCTTCTTTTTGCACATCAAACTGAATAATAATCGGTATGATTTACAAAAGATGGACAATGATAATAGAGCGTTCCTCTTCTATTTAGGGGTCCAAATTCAAATCCCAGAGAGAAGTAGTCAATAAGTATACTGTTTCCTGCTTGCATTGACCACAGAGATTTTTGTGGGTTTCCTCTGTTACGTTATGCTGGTTGCGTTGCCTCAAAAAGTTTTCCAAGTAAGCTAGTTAAGTCAGAGGTTCCCTTATCTTCTGGGTTTGATTTAAAATTACAATGAAAAGGAGTTAGTTGAGCATTGATATAGCTACAATTTGGACATGAAGAGGCTGTTAAACTCCGCTGATAAGTTAAAGAATTTCCTTCATGAAATGTTTTGTTTTAAAATGTAGTTTTTTTTTCTGAATGCAATTTTCAAAATTTTTGTTTTTCAAAGTTTATTTCAAATTAATCTATATTAAATCTTCGTTGCAGTCTGTAAGTATATTATGTAAACAAAGATTTATTACAAATTATTAAAAGACAAATAATGAAATAATTAAACTGTTCTGGAAAAATAAGTCCCACATTAAAATCACTCGTTGAAAAAAAAAAGTTTAAATAATGTGGCTGTGATCACATGTAGCTGATGAATGCTTTTAAATTTTCATGCAGTTCATTTTGAGAAATGTAAAAATCATATTTCTTTGAAGAAGTATTTATTTATAAAAAATACTTTATAGGCAATTTTAGAGGAAAATGGTAAAACATCTTAAAGCCGTGCATGCGTATCATCTGGAAATATCACGTTTTTCACGCATGATAATGTAATATTACTAACCTAATTTAATGCAACCGCCAACCGTGACATTATATTTAAGATGTCATGTTTTAAAAAAATTGCGCTTGTAAATCAGCTACAATGAAGCGGATTACTAATGCAATCGAAGGAAAGTTACTTTTAATTAGAATGAAATGTAATCTGTAAAAAAATCAGGTTTTTTAACTTAGTTATATATTTTTTTCAAATTTCAGCTAATTATTTAACATATTTATGAAAATTATACATAAATAATTTCGTTGAAATTTTTTTAAAATTTAACTTATTCTAAAGATTAGTTAATCGCAATTATCGTAGTAGTGAAAGTTTAAAGTTTTTTTTTATGAAACATGTCTATTTAATTTGGATCTATGGAATGATATTTGAATTTATTTGAATTGTAATAATGATGAATAGTGTTATTTTTTCAAGATTTTATAAATTATGTAATTTTTAAATTTTTAAAATAATTGACAAATGAGAAGCTTTTAATTAGTACCATTTTATCAATACACTGGCTGGTCATGATTTTATAATTTTGTATACTCAAGTTTCAATTTACAAAATCTTTATGTAAAGACTCAAATGACTGTAGTGTGACAAGGATTCAATCAACATATATGAAGTTCAGCGATAACAGAAATCGAACAACAGCGAATTGTTGTATGTAGAAGAGTTTTTAAACACTACCTGGGTGCCAACATTGGCAGAAAAAGTTAAGCGTGTTACACTTTTTAGATTTTTTTCTTTTATTTGTAAATAAAGGTGTTATTATTCAAAAATGGCTGTAAGTCTCTTTTGAAACTATAGTGCTTATTTAAAATAAACAAGATTCCCCCCCCCCNCAGTTTTAGACAGGTTAATAAACAAACTGTGGTGAATTGTGTGTCCACCAGATGGCATTGCCAGTTCTTCCCCAAGATGCCGTTAAAAAACTGTTTTTAACTTTTGTACTCAATTTTATGTACCTGGCAACGATATGGAGCAAATATTATTTGCAATTAACTAAGTTAACAATCGGTCTTCATGCAGCAGTGTTGCGAATAGCTGCTTGTCAATGTCTGTCTCGAAGCTATTTTAAATTTTATTCTTTATTTTTTCCGTGCCTAATCTTTAATAAACACATAGTAATTTTGAATTTCTTATGTTTCTTCCGTTTAATTTTTCAACCCTGTTAACTTCAAGTGCTTGTCACCAATTTATATTGATTAGGTTAACTTAATAAAACGTTAATAAATTGAATGGATTAAACTTGGGAGGTAACAAATTACTATGTAGTTATTAAATATTAGGCACAGAAAAAATAAAGATTATATAAAAAAAAAATTGTTTAAAGACAGGCATTTCCGAGTAGCTGCTAGTAATGCTGTGACGTGAACCGATGGTTGAAATCAATTGCAATTGTTGTTAATACCCATATCGTTGCCAAGGTATATAAAATTGAGTACAAAAGTTCACAACAGTTTTTTTTCCGCTATCTAATAGGAAAGCTGGCAATGCCATCTGGTGGACATGTAATCCGCCACAAAAATGTACATAATAAAAGAACATAGTACTTTTCTGTTTATGTTTCTCATTTATATTCCATGTAAATCGAAGTTTACTTCTGTAATCCCTTAAAAAGTCATTTTATTTCCCACTTACTTTATTAATTCTTAAATGTCGATAGGAAGTTATTTTTCCACCTTAGATTTGTGCGGACATATGGTGATGCGTTAGAAAATACCAGGAAAAGAATAAGTGGGGACTTTATTTTTTATAAATGGGAGAAACAATGAAGGCTATTATGATGTAAAGAACTAGCAACCGCGGAACTGGGAGGGGACTGAGGAGGCTTTACCCCCTCCCATTTAATAAATAATGGGATATAGCCCGTTCTAAGATTACAATTTTTCACTCAATATTCGTGTTGGTAAATTTACAATGAAATAAAAATAGAAATTTTTTTGTGTGTCTGAATTCTAAAAAACATGTGTATTTCAAGCGAGCTTCAATATTTCCTTGGTAAAAACTGCGAACAAGCCATCTCTTACTCACCCCCTCACCCCACAGAGAAAATATAAGTCACTATTGCTGACCAATACAGAAAATTCTTGGTTTCAAATACCACAGGGAACAGAATAATAAAAAGAATTAAAAAAAAAAACAACAGTGGAAAAGAATAAAATTTCAAATTTATGCCCGATTCTTCACAGTAAGTAAAATTTTAAAAAGTCTGCCTACCTTCGCACAAAAAAAGGAAAAAAAAAATTAAAAGTCAAATCAATTTTAGGCAGTAATTAATTTCAGGAAATTTTTTCTGTAAATCGATGCTAATCCTAAATATTTTAACATAATGATAAAGATAATGGCACTGTAATGGTCTAAACTATTGAAACGTTTAAATCACGAAAGAGTATATAATTTACAATACCAGAGCTTCCTCCCACAGTTCGTGTGTTATCGTATGGATTTTTGGGTATTCCAAAGTTCAGATTTGCGCTCTCCCACCACATGCAAGTTTCGGGAACGCTTGTGACAGTCACAGGAATCGCTCCAGCTTTTCTATATTCAGCAGCAGCAACGGAATCTTTCTCAGCTATATGATTCCTAGCCTTAACCATTCCACATGTTTGGGCCATGTCTGTAATGAAATAAAGGAGAAATGTACTTATCAAGCATTTAAATCTAGTTAGGTTCACTAGTTATAATCTCAAATAACTTTTATTTCTTGATGTTTAGATCATGAAATAAAAATTACAAAGGAACCGGTTGCTAAAATGTAATTTACATTCACTTCAACAGTAATAACGTAACACAAAATTTATATTACGCAAAGAACGATGCAAATCAACAACCAAGTTCAACAAGGTAAAAAATCGTCGGCAATTTTTGATTAACAACCCTCCCTAGCCCTTTGCCAGACACAAAAATTTGAACCAGCATCTTTTAGTTTTCTAGGGTCAACTTAGTTGAATCTTCTGCCTCCACGTAGTAAAGCATTGGTTCCTGATTTTTTTCGGCTTTTTTCCTTCAATGATTGAGCATGCTTTTGCGGGCTTAACTTAACTGAGACTTAATAAATAAATTAATAAATAAGTGAAAATATTTAATGATTGAAATTTTGTTAATAATTTTTAAAATATTTAATGTATGAATAAAGAGCCGTGATGACTCAGATCGAGCATTCGCCTTTCAATTAGGTGAACCGGGTTCGAATTCAACGACGATTGGTGGATACCAATTCCGCATCCGGCTCGCAATGACCACAGTGCTGAAGTAAAATATCATTAGAGGCAGACGGATCATGGATTAGAGTCTCCTTGCTGTCAGACAAACAGTGGATGGTTTTCCTCTCCATTTAACGCAAATGAGGATTAGTTCCATCAAAAAGTCCTCCACGAAGCAAAAAAATCTCCCCATACTTGATCCTGGAGTTCCCTTGTCTTTTGGATACCTTATATTTTATATAAAATCAATGTGCAATATTTTGAAATTGATTCTTTTACCACCTTACACGTTTTATGTTATGTATTATGGAAAATAAATGATCGATATTTTTAAATGATAATTTTACCATCTTATAGGCCATATTTATGTTTTTATGAAAAATCAATGCGATATTTTAAAATTGATTATTTCATTATTGATTATCTTTAAAAGGGATTATTGTAATTTAAATTTATTTTCCGTTTGAAATCGATTCAACAACTACTTTCCGATATCAACTATGTCCACACTGTTACATACTCTCTAGCAACTACGGAATATAGAAATTCTTGTTTGAAAATTCTTATCCTCAGTGTCAGAAATGTTATGTCTTAACGTTTAAAAAAGCTACATCCAAAGAAATATTTGTCCATCACTACATACGAATGATTTAAACAGATATATTGGTGATCAGTTGGGCAGAAGGTTAGTAAGTCTATTGGCAAATTTATGGGTTTTAATTTCTCTTTAATTATAAGAATTCATTTGGGGAACTTTAAAATCTAGATGCATAAATTTTTAATTTACAAATATTTTGGGTAGGGAGGATTAACCTCCTCAGACGCAAGGTATCCATTAGGATACCTCAGCAAATACAGAGTATTCAAAACTTGGAAAAATTACAAAGTGAAGAGAAACTTTCCCCAATACTGCTTAAAATTTCATAAAGTTAGTTTCACATTATTTTTATAAAGTCAGTTTTGAAGCTTTTACATCAAGATAAAAGAAATGATATTATTTTTAGTAAATATAAATGCTTCAAAGTTTTGTTAACCCAATATTTGATCCTCGAGTTCCCTTGTCTTCTGGATTGGGTTCAAAATTACAAGGTTACAGAGTTGAACATGGGTAGTCGTAAACCCAAAATTGGGCCGACTGTTCAGCGACGATTATAAAATAAAATATTTCCCTTCATCATCAAAGGTATATAAAATTATATATACACCGAAGAGCTAATACATTATGACCACCCTCCATCTATAATAATGGGCCCGCCCAGGGTTCCATGGTTTCTCGCCCAGGAACAATGTTTTCATGGGGCACATTAGGACCCATAATCCTCATAGAACAATCCCTGACGTCTGTAAGCTACTTGAACATAGTTGCAGACCAGGTTCACGCATTCATGGCAACAGTTTTTCTTGCGGGGGATAGTGTTTATCAACAGGATAATGCACCATGTCATAAGGGTCGAATCGTCCTGGATTGGTTCGAGGAACATTCCAGTGACTTTCAAGTCATGTCTTGGCCCCCAAATTCACCTGACTTTAATCCAATAGAGCATTTGTGGTCCTACTTGGAAAACCAAATTCATGCTGCCACGCTACCCCCTCGTAATGTGAGGGAATTGCAGGACCAGTTGGTGAGCGCTTGGTACAAGATAACTCAGACTACCTATCAGCACCTTGTGGAATCAATGCCACGGCGGGTGCTAGCAGTTTTGAGGGCTAAAGGTGGTCCTACATGTTATTAGCAGGGTGGTCATAATGTAATGCCTCTTCGGTGTATATATATGTCTTAAATCTTCAGATAAACTAAACTTTATGATGTTTCGTGAAAACTAGGCTTTATTTGTCAGAAATTTAAGAGTATTGTGAAAGATTTTAAAAATAAGCAATTAAAATTACTTACAACCCTCGTCTTCTCCATTTACCAGCCTAATATTGGGGTTAATAAAAGATGAACAATCATACATAAAAATTTACACAGGAAGAAGGTATCTTAAAAGATATATGACGTTTGGAATAAAAGAAATGATATCAATGGTTCAGAAAAGAAAGAATGGTTCAGAAAAGAAATGAATAACCTTTTACACCGATAGCCTCTTTACAGGTAAATGGCACTCCGAGTAGTGGTGTTTCAGAAGCAATTTCTTGGGGAGATTTTTCGCCACTGTCAAGGAATTTATCAATGTCTTTGGCATCCTGAATTGCAGCTTCATACCTCTCATCACATGCTGCGTTGATAATAGGATGAACTTCTCGAGATCTTTCTACATAAGCTTTCATTATATCTTCACACCTGAGCTGAATAAACAGTACAGCATTTATTATTATTACTAGCCGATTTTCGCTACCATCTAGGTCATACTTCAAAATTTTCTTGTAACAAAATATAAATTTTAATGGTAACCAAGCGGACTGCTACTGTATTTAAATATTCTAATTCTTCAACTTCAATTCTAACACCAAAGTGTCCCGGATTGTTATTTTGAATGATTGGGCTTGACTTTTTTTTAACCTTTATTTAACTGTACTTATTTCAGCAGTTAATGTAATCAATTAGCATATAATTCTTGTAGGAGTTTTTTTAAAAATTGCTTCATTTCAAAATGTGATACTAATTATATTAAAAACTTTCAAAGACTTTTCTACCCGAATAAGTGCTAAAAATTTTATGAGTGTAAGCCAGTGACGATTTTATAGCAGCATACACTCGTTTGTGTATGATTTTTCATTCTAATTCCAATTATCGTCTTCATTTTTCGAATGAAATACACGAATTGACATTCAATAGATATTGCAAAACGAAGTATATTTTAGTAATAACACAGTTACCTTTTTGTTGATAGCTATCAAACCACGATCTCCCATCAAAACGACATTGTCATGAATGTGCTACTAATTATATTAAAAACTCTTAAATGACTTTTCTACCCGAATAAGTGCTAAGAATTTTATAAATTTTTAACCAGTGACGATTTCATAGCATCATACATTCGTTTGTGTATGATTTTTCATTCTAATTCCAATTATCGTCTTCATTTTTCGAATGAAATACATGAATTGACATTCACTAGATATTATAAAACAAAGTATATTTTAGTAATAACACAGCTACCTTTTAGGTGATAGCTATCAAACAACAATCTCCTATAAAAACGACATTTTAATGGAAATTGAAAATAATAAATTGATATTTTTATTGCTCTTCTTTTATAGCCCAAATACAAATGGTTGCAATGTAAATTCTTCTGATTACTAAATATTCAAATTATGGCTAATGCGAATCATAATAAACTAAATTCAACTTTGTTAAAACGCTTATTGTGAATTATTGCGCTTCCAACCTTAGCTTCTTATACAGGGTTACTCATAATTCTCTCCGGGTTTTCGAAGCGTTATAGTAAAAAAACGAAGACGAATATGCCAAAAAAGAATATATGAAATTATTCCGAAAGTATTCAAGTTTTAATTTAAGCAGTTGCCGATAGATGGCAGCAACATGTATTACTGAAGCCAGTTGTAGTAAAGAAAAATGGCGTTTACAGGCGGAGAGAATTCTGAATAACCATGTATAATTGCCGAAATTGTATGAGTGAGCCGTGGTGGCTCAGGGGACAGAGTGTTCGCCTCCAAATGAGGTGTCCAGGTTCGAATTCTAGTGGTCGTGGCTTGTTGATAGGAATTCTGCTTCCGGGACGCACCGATCACAGTACTGACGTAAAATTTCCTCAGTGGTAGACGGATCATCGGAGCTATTCATGGGAGGTTTTCGTGGTTTTCTTCTCCATGTAACGCAAAAGTGGGTTACGCAACCCAAATACGAATGTATTTTATATTCTTGCGGAAGATGTGCTAGAGAAAATGTGTACAATAAATCAGGAGAATATCGATTTCCCAAACGCAGGAAAAAAAAGAGAAGTAACCAACTATGGATGGAATGGAAAGAAATATCAGTTACTTAAAATTGTAATTACTGTACGCATACTTTCGTATTCCTTTTTCCTATTGAGATAAAATTATTTCGATTTTCAAGTATTAGTGCATAATGATACTCCGTACGTATTGATAGAAATAATGCGTATAGAAGAGGTATTAAATCTGATAAGAGTTTATTGACTCATCAAGAGCTTACGAGTTATTTTTAACTACCATCCTTATCTAAGGTATTTTTTAATTTTAACAATGAAACTGATATCTCTGACGCAATATTTACGAACGCTTACGAATAAAATGCCAACCATCAGACTAAGCAAGTTTTTTTTTGCGTACTCATGAACATTTTACTCAGAAAATATCTTTCTTTCCCGAAAAAGATAGAGATTATCATGGCTGAATTATCAATGCAATAGGTAAAAATAATGAAGAGACTCAAATTAACATGGTTGCCAGATAGTAACAGTAAACGGGTTTTCTTAAAATAACCATGGGAGGGTATTTATAAATTATTTCTAGAAGCGGTTTGTTCTTACACGAGCTACGTTCAGATGGAGCATTCAATCAACCTCGAAGGTCAAGGTTTTCTTTTCGAATCTACATTTCATTACGTAAAAGATGCGTTCGTTAAACAGACTTCATTTTTTTTACATTTGTTTTATGTCTTGCACTGTCGACGATTAAAGAGTAAGTATTAGAACTCAGGTGCGATTAAGAAGTTACCATAGATTTAGTAATGGATACCTTTAAATACTACTTAAAATCACATTAAGGAATTTAACTTGTTGACGCAGTCAGCATTGCTTAGATTATGTGAGTTTGGAACGCAATCTACTATTTACCGTTCTTTAATACATTGAATAGGGGAGAGTGGGGTCAATTGTAACATTTTTTACTTAACTATTTTTAACTAACAAAAAATCCATGTGGTTATCAGGAAAGTACGACAGACGAGTAAAGTAGACTATCCTCTACTAGAAAAAAAAAAAACCTTATTTTAAATGTTATTATATTAGTTATTAACAATTTTTGACAGTCGTGCACTTGTTACAATTGTCCCCACTTACGGGGTCAATTGTAACAGTTCATAAATTCAACTAAAACATAGTTAATTATACATATTATCATAGTTGTGATATATTTTTTTATTGATCAAAATAGTAGTGATATTTTAGGAGTAAAAATAATAATGAGCAGAGACCTAAAGGGTTAAACTTTTAACTTTAAGGGGTTAAAAATTTTAATTTATGCTGTGAAAGGTGACAAATAAAATAATGCACATGCAACATAATATAAATGATATAGGAAACTATTGGTGGTTCTTAAAGAGTTAAGTAATGGTTTGTAAACATAAGATTATTTATTTTCAGCTGTTACAATCGTCCCTTTACTTATTGTTACAATTGTCCCCAAGACGCCATTTCAGCTTCATTTGTTAAAAACAATGCTAGTTAATTAGCAAAACTAATCTTTTTTTTTTTTGAAATGTTAATTAAGGTGTCCACTTACATATTCGGTTAATAATTTTTATTTGTTTATGCAAAATTACTTTGTTACAATATAATATTCTAATACCAAAAAAAGTACTTACGTAGCGTGAAAATATCTTTTGTGATGTAACTCTTTCAAAAGTACATAAAAATGGTTGCCAGCAGGGGTGTACATGTAGATTTATTAAATACACCTAGTGTGCCACCTAGGAACCAAATCTAGAACCCGACACTCGAAATTTTTGCTCTGTTACAATCGTACCCTGTTACAATTGACCCCACTCTCCCTTACTGTTAGATAATATGTATGTGGTTTACTCTGGGGGAAATGTGATCAGAAAAAATTGCTCGTTGGAGAAACTATGTCAGAGTGTCCTTTTCGGAATAATTCTATTATTTATCTCTCGCTATTTCCCTGCAAACTTAGGTAAATTATTAAAATTTTGTTACCCTACTATGTGTAGTTGCATGACTATTTTTATCAAGCGTTTTCAATTATGGAAGTTTATATATGCTGAATGAATATACTCATTGTAAATGTCATTTTTAATATTTGAATTAACTTTTTTTAATTAGTAAAAAAAAATTCTATCACTTAAAATAATAAAAACGTTAAATGTGTGTAGTACTATAATTTCTCAAAACATCCTTAAATTAATTCGCCTCACTGTGGCATTAGCTTGATATCGAAATTTTTCGTTTTACTACGCCATTAGATTTATTCAACTCACTACGAATATAATAAATATATTCGTTTTTGGAAGACTTTATACGTTTGTCCATTTTTAAGGACACTACCAAAAATGTGTTCTGTGAGATAAGACATTGCTAAACTTTTTAAAAGATATAAATCTCAAAATAAAAACATCCATCTTACCTGTCTTTTTCTTATTTTCTCAGCAAGATCTGTGGCAGAATAAAGTAAAATATTATTTGTTATAGGTGGCAACGGCTTTGTAGGACCCATGACTAGATAGTACACAAAAGATAAGATCTTGTCGGAGAACGGTCGGGTGAACGTCAACAGAATTCTCACGAATTCTGCGACCATTCCAGCTATCTGTGAACGAAAAAAAAGCTTTATATATGCATCAAATCTCAGAGATGTTGAAGTGCAATTATTTTTAAGCGTATAATTTTCTTTAATTAGAACATTAAAAAAATTATTTCTGGGAGTTAGTATATGTATAAGAAAAATGAAATTTTAGAATAATAAAAGAGAACAGTAAGAATAATAAAATAAAATAAATATCTTCAGCAACTTCCTAACATTTCTTTTTATGGAAGCACTGTTTCCTTTTCCTATGACATATCATTATAATTTGTTTTCAGTAAAAGTGAAATTTATTTACAGCTATGACATACTTTCTGGGCTATTTCTTATCTGGAAAAAAGCAAATAGCTGTGGCTTGGTTTTTATGTTGGTTATATACAGATGTTTGTCCAACAAATGTTTCAATTTCCCAGGGAATTTATGACCCTGGTATAACTGTGATGCCTGGAATGTCTTCTATTGAATTATTCACCCATTAACCACTGATATATCAATTTCTACAATATTCCAGTAGCTTCGATTTTTTTTCAAATAAGAAGTGAAGTAGAAGTAGTAGTTTATATCGCAATGAAAATAGAAAGTCATAAAAAAATCGTAATACAAATATCACATATACAAATAAATCGTATATACAAATAAAAATCTCAAAAAAAAAAGAAGAAAAAAAATAGACCATCTTGAATAATTTTTGATCTAATTATCAGATCTTCCCATTTTAGGACTCCTTCCTAAAGGTTTGAGGGGGTAACCTCAAATATGCTTATTAATTAGAACAAGACGATATTTTAAGTTTCGAATTATAGAATTATACACACAATTATAGAATTTATTTAGTCTAAGATAGTTTATCACATGAATTTAAGTTACAATCAATGGGCTTTAGCATTATCAGAAGCTTTCAGTAGAAATATAACTCAGTTGTCATGCGATTTAATTTTAAATCAAGTGGAATCTTAATATTAAATCAATCAGCACGTCAATTTAGAAGAGG